TCAGCACCACAGCCTGAAAGATCAATCCAGGCGGTAAGCTGGGCCAATTATACAACTCATTTCATTTGTGTCTCATTTCGGTTGTTCCTAAACTCACTCCAGTTTTTTCAGTTGGTCCACACAGGAGGATAAAGCCAGTCTCTAGGGGCTGACACTGTGGTGTAGGGAGTAAAGCCACCACCTGCAGTGTCAGCATCCCATATGGGCACCCGTTTAAGTCCCAGCTGCTCCACTTCCAATCCAGCTCCCTGCTAATGTGCCTGGGAAAGAAGCAGAAGATAGTTCAGGTGCTTGGGTCCCTGCACCCATGTGGGAGACCCAGGAAACTCCTGGCTCCTGGCTTTGGATGGGCCCAGCTCCAACTGTTGCTGGCATTTGGGGAGTGAACCAGTGGATGGAAGATCTCGCTTGCACACTCTTTCTGTGTAACTCTGCTTTTCAAATAAATAAATAGGGGCTGGTGCTGTGGTGCAGAGAGTTAACGCCCTGGCCTGAAGTGCCGGCATCCCATATGAGCGCCGGTTCCAGTCCCGGTTGCTCCTCTTCCAATCTAGCTCTCTGCTATGGCCTAGGAAAGCAGTGGAAGATGGCCCAAGTCCTTGGGCCCCTGCACATTGTGGGAGATCCGGAAAGAAGCTCCTGGCTCTTGGCTTCAGATTGGCGCAGCTCCGGCCATTGCGGCCAATTGGGCAGTGAACCACTGGATGGAAGATCTCTCTCTCTCTCCCTCTCTCTCTCTCTCTCTCTCTGCCTCTCCTCTTTCTGTGTAACTCTGACTTTCAAATAAGCAAATTAATTTAAAAATAATAAATAAATTAATCTTTTTTAAAAGTGATTATTTTGTCTATCTCGTTCAAAGACAAAGTTTTTATCATTATATATAGTATTTTTAGCAGTAAGACTCTCCATATGGAGTGAAATGGACATTTTGAGATTCGATAATTGTTTACAGCCCTTGTCTCTTCCATTGAGGAATAGTGTTTTTTTTTTCTTCATACTTCTTGTTGAACTCTTTTACTTAGTGTAAGGTTAACTATATGACCATTAAGTAAACTGAAAATAGATCTTTATAAAAATTAAGAGTGGGATGTGAATCTATGGCCATACCATCCTGAACATGCCCGATCTCGTCTGATCTCAGAAGAGTGGGGATGTGAGAAGGAGGAGGAAAACAGGTTGGCACATGGGTGTGAGGGAGGGTGGGGGATGAAGTATCACTATGTTCCTAACTGTATATATGAAATACATGAAACTTGAATAACTTAAATTTTAAAAAAAATTTGAAAAAGACTACCCCAAGTGATTTTAGTGAATAGTAGTGGTGAAAATGGGAATTTATCTATTGTATATATGGAAACAGTATATTTTCTTTCATCATTAATACGGTATTTGTGAGTTTCTTGAAGATGCCCTTTAATTGGTTGAGAAAAGTATCTTCTATTTTTAGTTTTTTTCTGTGAACAGAGAAAGAGGGAGCACGAGGTCTTCCATCCACTGGTTCACTCCCCAGATGCTGCAGTGGTAGGAGCTGAACTGATCTGAAGCCAAAAGCCAGGAACCAGGACCTTCTGCTGGGCCTCCCACATGGGTTCAGGGGCCCATGTACTTGGGCCATCCTCCACTGCTTTTCCAGGCTATTAGCAGGGAGATGGATAGGAAGCGGAGCAGTCAGGACTCACACCAGTGCCCATATGGGATGCTGGTGTTGCAGGCAGGTGCTTAACCTACTTCAGCACAGCACTGGGGGTAATGCTTTTTAAAAATCCAGACTGGTAATCTCCACCTTTTAACTGGAGTGTTTAGACCTTTTGTATTTGATGTAATTATTAGCTTTGGATTTAAAATCATCATATTATTATTTGTCCTGTTCTTTTTTCTTTTTCTCATTTACTACCTTCTTTTAAATTATTTGAATTTTTAACACTTTCACAGCCTTTCTGGTGGTGACCTCCATAAGAGAACATGCATCTAGCAAAAGATCTCCTCTCTCTGTCTCCAGAAGAGAAGAGGAAACTCAAATAGGGCCTGCCTCCCAACCCGTTTTTACTTCACAGATGTGAAATGCCCAGGCTGCAATAAAATCGCAATGGTCTTTAGCCTTGCACAAGTTCTGTGTGTTGACTACTCCAGTATCCTCTGCTGGCCTACTGGAGGAAAAGCAAGGCTTATAGAAGGATCTTCCTTGATGTCAGGAGCTGGTAATCAATCCAGGACTCCCCCATAGGAAGCAAAACCTAATTACTTGAGCATTACCACTCTTCTCAGGGTGTATATCAGCAGGAAGCTGGAGTCAGGAGCCAGAGCTGGGTATCAAACCCAGATACTCTGACATGGGATGCTGGCATTTTAACAGTTAGATAAAACACCTGCCCCCCAGAGTGTTTCTGCAGACTGATTTTTCTACTTGTTATTAGTCACATTTCCAGTAATTTTTAAAAATTGGAATCTAGCCATTATAGAGTCTTTTTAATTTTTTAATAAGATTTATTTATTTATTTTGAAAGAATTAAAGTAAGAGGGAGAGACAGTGAAAAAAACAGATCATCCAACCACTGGTTCATTCTCCAAATGGCTGCAACTGCCAGGGCTGGGCCAGGCCGATGCCAGCAGCCTGTAGCTTCTTCCTCGTGTGGGTGCAGAGGCCTAAGCACTGTGGCATCTTCCACTGCTTTTCCCAGGAGCATTAGCAGGGAGCTGGATCTGAAGGGGAACAGCCAGGACAGAAACGGGTGCCCATATGGGATGCCGGCTTCACAGGCAGCTCTACCCACTGCACCACAACACTGACCCTGTTTTTGTTTGTTTGTTTAATATTTATTTTTTTAGAAAGAGTTACAGAGAGGGAAAGAGAGAGACACAGAAAGAAAGATCTTCCATCTGGTGGTTCACTTCCCAGATGACTGTAACTGTAGCCTTTAGCAGGGAGTGGGGAGGTATTTCAGAAGTGGAGCAGGGGCTGGTGCTGTGGCGTAGTGGGTAAAGCCGCCACCTGAAGTGCCAGCATCCCATTTGGGCACTGGTTTGAGACCCGGCTGCTCCATTTCTGATCCAGCTCTCTGCTATGGCCTGGGAAAGCAGTAGAAGATGGCCCAAGGCCTTGGGCCCCTCCACCTGTGTAGAAGACCCAGAAGAAGCTCCTGGCTCCTTCCTTCCTATCGGCGCATCTTCGACCATTACAGCCAATTGGGGAGTAAACCAGTGGATGGAAGACCTCTCTCTCTCTCTGCCTCTCCTCTTTCTGTGTAACTCTGACTTTCAAATAAATAAATAAATCTTAAAAAAAAGTGGAGCATCCGGGATCTGAACTGGTGCACATATAGGATGTTGGCATTGCAGGTGGTAGCTTTACCTGCTATGTCACAACAGTGGCCCACTTTGTGTGTGTGTGTGTGTGTGTTTAAACTATTTTATTTGAAAGGCAGAGAGAGAAGCAGAAAGATAAAGAGAGACCTTATCTTTGCTGGTTCATTCCCCAAATGCCTGCAACAGCTGGGGCTAGGGCAGGCTAAAGTCAGGAGCCAGGAACTCAATATGGATCTCCTACATGGGTAGCAGGGATCCAAGAACTTGACCCTTCACCTGCTGCCCGGGGAGGGGTATACATTAGCAGGAAGCTGAATGGGAAGCAGAACCAGGACTCTGACATGAAAAGTGGATGTCTCCTGTGCCAAATGCTTATTCCATTATACCCTTATTTGTTACCCAGCTTGATCCTTACTAGAGTTACTTTTCACAATTTTGTAGAGCAAACACAGAGTAGCCTTCTCTCTCAGGCTGTTCCCCACTACTAAGACATTACCATTAGTGGTATTAACTTGATACCCAGTGTACTCAAGTGGGTCTCCAACCCTCTGGCTTTGACAACTGAGATGACTCCCAAACTAGTCTGAACTTTTGTTTTGATTCCTCAGTAATTGTTCTTTCCCTCAAGATTGTTTACCTAGACTTGCAGAGCTTCACCCTATGATTAGATTAGCATGAAGCTAGAGTCTCAAGATTTCTGTAGCTCTTCTCTGCATTGCATCTTCCTAATAGTCTCTTTAAATTCTAGTCTCTCTGCCTCCCCAAACTTGTATGATCTTTTCAAATATTAAGACATTTTGATTCTTTTTGGGTTTCTCTTCACTGTGTCACAGGCCAGAAACTGATTCCAGGCAGAAAGCTGTGGTAACCATAGAACTCAATGTACGTTTCCTTTCTCTTTGGGAGCACAGTCCACTGCTGACTGTTGTCTCATGTTTGAAATAAATCATTTACCATATTTTGTCCAGTGTTCTATCTGCTTATAGTGAAATGATAAGTCTGGATCCCGGTACTCCCTCGTGGCCAGTAATAGAAGCATGCCATTTTAATCATAACCTATTTTATTTCTTTACTGCATTTAACAAAATATTTATGAAACATCTACTGTGAAGAGTCCAGACATATAGAATCATTCACAACTAATGTTTTTCCAACAAACCTAGTTTTACTGTAGATTTCAAATAGGGCCCCCACATTCTTTGACACTCCCTCCACTTTATTTTCTCTCCCTTAAGTATAGACCTGTGACTACATTTCCAACAGAATTTGAGGGAGATGATGCTGTGCCCATTTCCCAGAACAGGTCTTAAGGAAGTGGCAGATGACTCTTCTTGCCTTTCAGAATGCTGTCTTATGCCCCTCTAATATGTTGGAGGGACCAAGCAGATTTATGGGAGGACCCATGCGGTTGTTATGGCTGCCAGCCCCATTGACCCAGCCAACTGTCAGTATCAATTGCCAGATACATAACAGAGTAAATTCTCAAATCATTGTAGCCCAAGCTGTAGAGTCACTCAAGCCTTGGAGCCACCCCTGCTCATGTTCTGTGGAAGACAGGCAAGTTGGCGCTGCTTAGCTTTGTCCAAATTTCTGATATGTTAAGCAAAAGAAATGATTGCTGTTGCTTTAAGACACGAAATTTGGGGTGCTTTTTATGTAGTAATAGCTACCTGGAACAAACATCACATTATTAAAAATAGATTTAATATTTATTATTTACCTAATACCGGTCACATACTGAGTCAGGAAATCTGAGTGGAAGTTTAGAGAAGGTCTAGGATCTAAATAGAATAAAGGCCAAGAAAGCAAAAAGAATTGCTTGTTTGAAGATACAAAAAGTATGGAAACATTTGAGCAATTGCGGTAGTTCAGAAAGACTAAATTAGAGGGCATGAGGAAAAAACTATGAAAAGACAAGGTATTCGGGTACCAGTTCTTAAAGGATGCAACACCAGGCCGGCACCGTGCCTCAATAGGCTAATCCTCCACCTGCGGCGCCAGCACCCCGGGTTCTAGTCCCGGTTGGGGCGCCAGATTCTGTCCTGGTTGCTCCTCTTCCAGTCCAGCTCTCTGCTGTGGCCCAGGAGGGCAGTGGAGGATGGCGCAAGTCCTTGAGCCCTGCACCTGCATGGGAGACCAAGAGAAGCACCTGGTTTCTGGCTTCGGATCGGCACAGCATGCCAGCCATAGTGCGCCGGCTGCAGTGGCCATTGAGGGGTGAACCAACGGAAAAGGAAGACCTTTCTCTGTCTCTCTCTCTCACTGTCCACTCTGCCTGTCAAAAAAAAAAAAAAAAAAGATGCAACACCAAAGAATTAGCGTTTAATTCTGAAGGCAGGATACTACTCTGCACACTTGTAATCAGGCAATTAATTATTTAATGACTTCCCCACAAGCTGTACTCCAAAAAAAACTAGGTTAAATCACTTAGAGTTTTTATTCCTATGATATTTCTATCAACTAGAATGGTACCTTGCATACACATGGAGTTAATATATATTGAGTAGCTGGGTAACCGAAGAACCATATAAAAATCTCAAGGGCATAACATAATCAGATTGGTATGTGAGAAAAATCCTTCTGGCAGTAGTGTGGGGAATGATTGGAGATAGATAGCTGTATTAGTCGGCATGGGCTGCCAAAACAAAATAACACAGGATGAGTGACTTAAATAACAGAGCATTTCTCACACTTCTGGAAGTTGAAAATCAGATCAGGGTGCCAGGATGGTCAGGATCTACTGAGAGTTTTTTTTTTTTTTTTTTTTTTTTTTGCCTTCTCATGGTGTTCTTGCATGACTCAGAAAGGGAGAAAGAACAAATAACATGGTGTTCTTTCTATAAGGACACTGATTCTATTATGAGGACCCTTGCCTCATGGTCTCATCTTAATCTAATTAATCCCCAAAGACCTCCCCCCCAAATATCATCACTTTGGGAATTAGTCAATATAGAAAGAGGAATTCAGTTCATTCTACAGAAGTAGGGATGGATAAAACAGAGTAGGAGGCAAATGTAATACAGCAGTCCCCACTTAACTGGAGGGGATACATTTCAAGCTCCTCAGCAGATGGCTAAAATTGTACATAGCCTGCCTATGTACATATCCCTGTCTATATCATATATTTTAGTACATATCCTCATATACTCCTATGATGAAGTTTATTTTTTAAAAGATTTATTTATTTATTTGGCCGGCGCCGCAGCTCACTAGGCTAATCCTCCGCCTAGCAGCGCCGGCACACTGGGTTCTAGTCCCGGTCGGGGCACCGGAGTCTATCCCGGTTGCCCCTCTTCCAGGCCAGCTCTCTGCTGTGGCCAGGGAGTGCAGTGGAGGATGGCCCAAGTGCTTGGGCCCTGCACCCCATGGGAGACCAGGAGAAGCACCTGGCTCTTGCCATCGGATCAGCGCGGTGCGCCGGCCGCAGCGCGCAGGCCACGGCGGCCATTGGAGGGTGAACCAACGGCAAAGGAAGACCTTTCTCTCTGTCTCTCTCTCTCACTGTCCACTCTGCCTGTCCAAAAAAAAAAAATGTATTTATTTATTTGAAAGGCAGAATTACAGAGAGGCAGAGGCAGAGAGAGAAGTCTTCCATCCACTGGTTCAATCCCCAAAGGGCTGCAACAGCTGGAGCTGGGCCCATCTGAAGCCAGGAGTCAGCAGCTTCTTCCAGGTCTCCCACATGGGTGCAGGGGCCCAAGGACTTGGGCCATCTTCCACTGCTTTCTCCGGCCATGGCAGGAGCTGGATCGGAAATGGAGCAGCCGGGACTTGAACTGGCACCCATATGGTATGCTGGCACTGCAAGTAGCAGGTTTACCTGCTATGCCACAGTGCTGGCCCCAATAAAATTTAATTTATAAGTTAGTCACAGTATGAGATAAGTAACAATAATAAAACAGTAACTGCAACAGTATGCTGTAATAAAAGTTATGTGAATGTGGTCAATTTGATAGCTGAGAAAGCTCCTAAGTGACTAATTGGCAGTGTATATGCTCCAGAGAGATGATTCACTTCCTGGGCAGGACAGAGCGAGATTTTGTCATGAGACACAGAATGCTGTGCACTTTAATACTTAGGAATTGTTTATTCCTGAAACTTTCCATTTGATGTTTATGGACAAGTTTATTACAAGTGACTGATACTGCAGAAAGCCAACCCAAGATAAGGGGGCACTGGTATTATTCACCTAAGTGAGAAGGAAAGTATGAACTAAAGTAATGACAATGAAGCTTGGCAAGAAGGGCTAAATTTAAGAAATATTAATCAGTCCTATGTTGGGGAGAATTACTAAACTGTTAGCAACTTACCAGAGATACTTATTTTCCTGAACTTTAAAATCACAGATTTTTCTGAAGGAACACTACTTCCATGTTAGTATGTTTGTTTCTCTTAAATTTTTACTGATTTTAATTTTATATGAAAGACAGAGAAATACAGATGGGGAGAGATCTTCCACCCGCTGGTTCACATCTGCAACAGCTGGTGCTAGAGCAGGCTGAAGTCAGGAGCTAGGAGCTCAGTCCGGGTCTCCCATGTCGGGGGAAATGGTTCTAGTGCCTGCTGCCTCCTAGGCCTGCATTAGCAGGAAACTGGACTTGGTCCCAGGTACTCAGAAAGGAACGTGGATCTCCCAACCTGCAACTTATGAACATTGTGTCTTTTTGGGACTGGCTTATTTCACTAAGTATAATGGTTTCCAGTTGCATCCATTTGTTGTGAAAAACAGGATTTCATTCTTTTTTATGGCTGAGTAACATTCCATATTCCATAACAAATATTTTGTTTATCCAGTCATTGGTTGATGGACATCTGGGTTGATTCTAAATCTTAATTATTGCAAATTGAGCTGTAATAAACATGGGGGTACAGATAACTCTTTCATATGCTGATTTCATTTCCTTTGGGTAAATTCCAAGGAGTAGGATGGCTCATAAGGTAAACACATAATATTACAGACACATTTCAGTGAGAAGTTGATATCTAGTCTCTCAAATGTTTTAAAAACTATGGTAGTGGCTATAGTTAGAGTCATGGCTGCTCCACTTCTGATCCATCTCCCTGCTAACACTCCTGGGAAAGCAGTGGAAGATGGCTCAAATGTGGAAGTACCTGCCAAACACATGAGAGATCTGGATGAAGCTCCTGGCTCCTGGTTTAAGCCTGTCCCAGTTCAGGCCTTTGCGGCCATCTGGGGAGTGAACCAGTGATGGAAGGTCTCTCTCTCTCTCTCTCTCTCTGCCTTTCTTTCTTTAACTTGGCCTTTCAAATAAAACAAACAAACTACAGTAATACTAAAAGTGAAAATCTTATAATTTCATTGTCTTAAAGGCATGGTAAGTTGATCTCAAAATACAAATCCAGGGACTGGTGCTGTGGAAAAGTAGGTTAATCCTCCACCTGTGGCAATGGCATCCCATATGGGCGCCGGTTCTAGTCCTGGTTGTTCCACTTCTGATCCAGCTCTCTACTGTGGTCTAGGAAAGCAGAAGATGGCCTAAGTCCTTGGGCCCCTGCACCAGAGTGGGAGACCAGGAAGAAGCTCCTGGCTCCTAGCTTTGGATTGGTGCACCTCTGGCTGTTTTGGCCAATTGGAGAGTGAACCAGCGGATGGAAGACCTTTCTCTCTCTCTCTCTCTGCTCTACCTCTCAGATAAATAAATAAAATCTTTAAAAAAAACATTTTTTTTCATATTTGGTCTTTGTTGTTATATGTAAAATTATTAATTTTCTAAAATGTTTTTTATAGCATATAAATTGCAAAGACTGCCAATGGTTAAAGTCTTTTAGGTCAGAATATGTAGAAAATACTATCAATTCTAATATGTTATTTCCAGTGTTTACATATTGATAATCAAAGCTTGAACAATTTGTTCACCAGTTTTTTACTGGCAACAGAATATTACCCAGTCTCATTACTGGAACACAAAGCATGTCTCAATGCATTTTCTTTAACATCTGACTTTGATACAGGGTAATCATGATAATGGACCCAAGACACTGCCTAGAACTTGAGGTGGACAAGTTGTCACCTGATTCTGTCAGACCAGTAGTAAAAAATAGGTTTTTGAGAGAGAAGGTCCTGCTTCCCTTATCAATATGTTTTGGAATAATTTGATGTCCATCATAATGACACAAAAGCAAGGTTTTGGTATTGACCCCTCAAAATGTTAATTATATGGAGTACTAATTTTACATTGTTGTGTTTTAACTTTTTTCTGCTATTGAAAGAAATGTATGGGGGCCGGAGCCATGACTCACTCGGTTAATCCTCCGCCTGCAGCGCCAGCATCCCACATGGGCGCCTGGTTCTAGTCTCGGTTGCTCCTCTTCCAGTCCAGCTCTCTGCTGTGGCCTAGTAGGGCAGTGGAGGATGGCCCAAGTGCTTGGGCCCTGTACCCGCACCAGGTGGGAGTACCTGGCTCCTGGCTTCCGATTGGCGCAGTGTCTGCTGTGGCGGCCATTTGGGGGGTGAACCAACGGAAAGAAGACCTTTCTCTCTGACTTTCTCTCTCACTGTCTAACTCTGTTAAAAAAAAAAAAAAAGTATGCTCATCTCAGATGTGTCTGGAAAATATAAAATGCATAAAAAAATCAGTGAAAAGTCTAACCATTCAGGGATAATCATAATATTCTCATGTTTTTTGTCTTTTATGATTGTGGCTATTTGTCACTTTACATGTTTTTGTACCTAAAATTCATGTTTTCAGATGCCTATATAAATATACCAATTTTTAGGTTCACTGTCAAAGGTTGCCTAGTTTTTACATAACATCTACTGTAATTTATTCAACCAATACTAACTATGATTACGTATCCTTTTTTACTTACTACTTTTAGGCCACTTACATTTGACCATCACTGCCTTATTATTGTTTTGTATAGATGATTTCCTCTAGGAAGAGTCTACCAATTTACACTTCAAACAACAATATGAGTGTACAAATCCCCACATCCCTGATTCTTTTTCACCTTTTTGTCTAAATGACATAAAAGCATTATCTGGCATTTTAATTGCATTTTTGACGTTCAGAGGTGAGACTTCATTTGGATTGATTTTCATAAGCACCCTATGATTTTAAATCTCACTGAACCTCGATATTGGTTCCAACGCCACATCTGTAAGTGTTGTTAATTTGGGTATAATTTAGGTCATTCTGATGCACATACAAGGTGCGTTTACTAAATGTCCTCCAAAATCTGTAGCAGATATTCCTCAAAATTTCCACATGGCAGAGGATACTTCTCCTTTGCTAAATAAACTTAATCAACAATGTAATTAAAGCAACCTTTTAAGCCGCTAGGAATCACTAATTCCTGGTTACATTTTTCAGATTTTTTTTGGTTTTGTTTTTTCCCCCTTCTCAGTTTAGGAGCCGTCTTGGGCTGTGACATTCATTTCCTAATCCACAGCAGCTCAGGGACTCGATTAACGCCCCTCTAGAAAAGGGTTCCAGAGAGACTCGGGAGCCCGGCTCCCAGCGACTCCGGGAAGGTGCCAGCGTTACCTCAGCCTCTCCTAGGAGCCGCGCGCCCTGACACTCCCCTCTAGGGATTCGAGCCAGTCCATTCAGCTCACGGGACTTCAAGCAAGTTCCTGGCACCTCAGCGAATTGAACTGATACACTTTGTAAAAAGAAGAGGACCTAGAGGAATTTCCATGTCCTGTCAGAGCGACTACAAGGGTATTAACAACAGACAAGACGGAGAAAAAAGGGGGCTCGATCGACCCAAGCGCGACCCCTTTTTCTCGTTAGTCTCTGATACACAACGGGGTTGTTAGTCGTCTTCGGCGTGCCTGGAGGACCCCATCCCCCGGAGACTCTTGGCCAAGGGAAAAGCAGAAAACACAGGCACTAATCCTAGTCCCATATGCAGTGAATCCAAAGAGGAGTCAAGTGGAGGGAACTCTTGGCTGAGTGTGGGACGGCGGAGCAGGTTCTGCGTCGTTTCTGGTCAGGCGGCATGGAGGGCCCCTAGATTCCCGACTCGCTCCGCGCGGGGACCTAGTCGGCTGCTTAGCTGTTGCCGCCGCCGCCGCCGCCGCCAGCGCCGCCGCCGCTGCTGTTGCCGCGGTTGCTGGGGGTGGATGAGCTCCGGAGCGGGTGGGGAACTGGTAGAGTCGCTGTTGCTGTTTTTGCCTGAAGGGTGTTTCTTCCCTCGTCGCACCCTGACTCCTGTGGTGGTGAGGCGGAGTCTCCGCGCTCACCTCGGCACGTAGTGGAAGATGCCTCTCTTTGCCACCAATCCCTTCGACCAGGATGTTGGTGAGTGTTTGTGCCGCGGCCAGTCCATTCCCCCACTGGACTGCAAGCCCACTGTGCCTGCCGTTGTGCACATTCGGGACCCCCCGGCCGGGGCCAAGCTCTTCCCCTTTCCAGGGCTGGGAGAAGGTTAAGGGCTTGGCACATTCTCTTCGAGAGAAATGGTACTCAAGGAGTCTGTGAAATGGGCCTGGAGCTAGCACTGGGTTTCCAGAGAACTGCCTAAGGGGGTGGTGTAAAGGGCCTCAGAGGAGCAGCTGGTGTGGCATCTGGTGCTGGAAGAAGAGCGGGAGCTGAGGCGGGTGTCAGCTAGAGGAGGGTGGTAAGCCCTGTGACAGAAGTGTCCCCCTGGACCACTGTTGAGCGCCTGGAGCCAGCCGAGTGTTTTCGGTCAGGTTCCTCTCTTTTGTAACGGTTACTGGAGGCGCGAGCTCCGGTGAAGCCTTTCCAACGTGTCGGGACAGATGAAGATGTGATACCTGGCAGTGGCTGAAGCCAAGTCGAGGATCTGAGACTTTGGGATGTTTTTCGTTGACGAGGTCTCTCAGCACTTTGAAGAAGTGTGGAGGAAGACCTTGAATCAGGACAGGGGTTTGAAATGCTGAGTTTTTTGTTTTCTGTAGTACCTACTGGTCATATTGGGTCAAGTAATTAATGTGTGTGTGTGTGTGTGCCCTGACCTGAAGGTAGTAATTGTGGGAAATTGAGTTTTGAGGTTATTTGAATATTCTTCGGAACTTCCTTGGCACACAAATATGGAATGAAAACAGGCCAAATACCATATCCAAATCCCTTAAGGCATAATTTCATGCTTATTGTAATCAAGAAATATAAGGGTAACCTAAATATAAAGACCGTCTGATGGAGTTGCTTTTTGGCTCTCTATTTTAATTTTGAAAGATGGATGCTGAATTTTGCTTTTTAATTTTTAGAGTACGTTATTGGAGCTGGAAGGTTTAAAACTAGGAAAGGGTTTAATCCTATCTCTGCCACTTCCTAGCTCACAGTGAAATCATAGACAAGGTAAATTCTTTGAGTTTCAATGTCCTTATGTTGAAAAATGGGAAAACACATCATTCTGTTCTGTAAATCCATGAAATACTGTGTGTAGAGTCTCCTGTGGTGGCATTGTGTAGCAGGTACTTAATACTAGCTTTTTGTCCGAGTTTAAATGTATGTACTGAATCTTCGCAGTGCATGGAACGTCAGAGATAATACTTATATACTGATAATACTTATATACTGATAATACTTAATAATAAATTGGAAAATTATACTTAATGTAGTAAGCACTTAACACATACTCTTTATGGGACAGAGTACTCAGTGAACAACACCTGGTTGCTGAGCTCAGGCAGTTTTATAATTTGCTACATCAGGGCAAATGTTTAAGATGAAAACTTAAGTTCTTAATATTTCTTTGGTTTCCAGCATCTTTATCTAGTTGTCATGGCCCTATATAATCTAGCTACCAGTTATCCATAAACATTTGAATTTTCCTGGCTTTCTAAATACACATTTGGGTTGGCTTCAGATAATGTCCACCCTGCCTGTCAAAAAAAAGAAAAAAAAAAGCCAGTTCATTATTGGATTAAAACTAGGGTTTCTCAGTAGCAACACTGTTGTTTTGGACCATATAAACATCTTTGTGGGAGTCTGTCCTGTGCCTGGTAGAATGTATAGTTTCAACCCTGGCCTCTGCTCACTAGCTATTAGTGACACGGAGCCCAGATTATTTAAATGACAACATTTAAATGGGCTTATTTAAATGTTGATATTTAAATAATCTCCAGACATTGCTAAATGTCACCTGAGGAGTCAAAATAGCCCCTAGTTGAGAATCTCTACTTAGTCTATTGTAACTTCTGCCTTTTTTCAAATGCTTGAAATGATAAGTATGATCTGTATTTTGCTCCTTAATTATTTTAATAGTTGCTGCGTATTAGGTGTTGAATAAATGTTGTTGGGTTTGAGAATGTGTTAGTTGAGCCTTCTAGAGTATAAGGGCATTGTTTTGACCCAGAAAAACTTACTTTTTTTTTTTTTTTTTTTTTAAGATTTATTTATTTGAAGGTCAGTTACACAGGAAGAGGAGAGGCAGAGAGAGAGAGAGAGATCTTCCATCTGCTGGTTTACTCCCCAGTTGGCCATAATGGCCGGAGCTGCACCGATCTGAAGCCAGGAGCTTTCTCCTGGTCTTCCCACGCAGGTGCAGAGGCCCAAAGCTTTGGACCATCTTCTGCTGCTTTCTCAGGCCACAGCAGAGAGCTGGACCGGAAGTAGAGCAGCCGGGACTTGAACTGGCACCCATATAGGACACCAGCACTGCAGGTGGCAACTTTACCCACTACACCATGGTGCCGGCCCCAAAAACATTTTTTTAATGTCTTTCTATTAGTGATGTTAACCTTTTTTTTTTTTTTTTAAGATTTATTTATTTTACTTGAAAATCAGAGTTACACAGAGAAGGAGAGGCAGAGAGAGAGAGACAGAGAGAGAGAGGTCCTCCATCTTCTGGTTCACTCCCCAATTGGCCACAACGGTTGAAGCTGTGCCAATCCAAAGCCAGGAGCCTCTCCTGCATCTCTCACGTAGGTGCAGGGGCTCAAGGACTTGGACCATCTTCCACTGCCTTCCCAGGCCGTATGAGAGAGCTGAATCGGAAGTGGAGCAGCCGGGTCTCAAACCGGCGCCCATATGGCACTGCAGACGGTGGCCCTACCCGCTAAGCCACAGTGCCAGCCCACCAAAAACTTAGTTTTTAAAGTTTGTCAGGTTTTTAGTATTTGTTTCAGGCCTCTTCACATGATTCATGTATTGAAATATCATGGAAGGTTTATTTATGAGGGCCCTTCAGAGACTCCAAGTAAATAATCCTTGGACAGCGTCCAGTAAACTCTCATGTTGAATTTTTACTGGTATGGCATATAGAATACAATATGTAGAATACATTTAAAAATACTTCTTGTCATTCTGTCCATCTTTGAGTATGTCAGTGATACTAAAGTGTTTCTACTACTTCATTTAATACAGTTACTAATCACTTATGTTTGAATGCATTTTTACTTCTTCAAAATTACCTTCAGTTTTGTTCATACATTGAAGCTGAGTCAGAAATTCACTGATTTATGTAGTATATTTCTTATAAAACAATGAGGTTCTGGCAATAGCTTTTCTTTTGCAAAAATGTCTAAACATGTTGTTAGCTCTATGAAGATAAAGATTTTTGTTTTATGTGTTCAGTATTGAATTCCTAACATGCAGACAAGTATCTGTCACTAATAAACATTCAGTAAACATTTACTGTGTAAATGAATCTCATTTTGGTCATTAGATTTCTTTTAGATTCAGCTCTTGAGTTATACTTTATTCCATCATGGTTTTATTTCAGAGTCTCCATTATTTCCACTTTGCTAAATTTTTTTTTTTTTTATTTTTTGCCAGGCAGAGTTAGACAGTGAGAAAGAGAGACACAGAGAGAGTTATAGACAGTGAGAGAGAGACAGAGAGAAAGGTCTTCCTTTCGTTGGTTCACTCCCCAAATGGCCACCACGGCTGGCACTGCACCGATGCAAAGCCAGGAGCCAGGTGCTTCTTCCTGGTCTCCCATGCAGGTGCAGGGCCCAAGCACTTGAGCCAAACTGCACTGCCCTCCCGGGCCACAGCAGAGAGCTGGACTGGAAGAGGAGCAACCAGGACAGAATCCAGCGCCCCAACCGGGACTAGAACCCGGGGCGCTGGCACCGCAGACTGAGGATTAGCCAAGTGAGCCATGGCACCGGCCCTCACTTTGCTAAATTCTTAGTCCTTTTCCTTGATGATCTCTTAAGCATTCCTCTTTGATTGATATTATTCATGACTTTTCAGGACACCAAACTTTTTCTGATTTTCTACTTACCTCTTCTCTAGTTTTCTCCTTCTTGCAGCGTCCAAATGCTATACAACCTTTTCTTTTAGCTTTTTTTTTCCTTGGGGAATCTTACGGGGCAACTTAATTTAGTATTTAGAATTCAGACATTGTATTCACACTGCTTGAGTTCAAATCTAATTTTTGCTGTTTCTCAGCAACATAACTTTAGACTGGTTGCTTTCAGATACCGTGTGCCTCAGTTTCCTCATTGTTAGTATGGCATATATGGATAATAGCACTTTTTTTTTAATGGGCCCAATGTCAAAGACAGTTGACTCAGGATCTATTGAACCTAGGGTCTTTTTTTTTTTTTTTTTTTGCTAATGATTTTATTTATTTAATTGAGAGGTAGAGTTACAGTGAGAGGGAGAGACAGAAAGAAAGGTCTTCCTTCCACTGGTTCACTTCTCAGTTGGCCGCAATGGCCAGAGCTGATCCGAAGCCAGGAGCCAGGAGTTTCTTCTGGATCTCCCACATGGGTACAGGGGACCAAGGACTTGAGCTATCTTCTACTGCTTTCACAGGCCATAGTAGAGAGCTGGATTGGAAGTAGAGCATCTCAGACTAGAACTAGCATCCATATGGGATGTGGGCGCCACAGGCAGAGGATTAAACCTACTGTGCTACAGCGCTAGCCCTATAATAACACTTCTTGACTCTGTTAAGAGAATTCAATACGTATGTATAAAGCACTTAGAAAAACTTGTGTGCTTTCTGTTTATAAAGTAAGATTTAAAAAAACCTCTCACCTAATTTTTTTTTAACTTTAAATGCTGTGTGTATTCTGCTAATTCCCAAATTTATGTCCTTGCTACCCCACATTGCCAGCCCCCAGTCCTTATCTTAAAACTTGGACATGTTTTAGTCATTCTTATTTAAATCAATATCATTAACCACAGCCAGGTTAATCTCCAAGAATGTTAATATCACATTATTCTCCTGAAGTATGATTTGATAGACAGACCTTGACTTTGGTCTTAGATGTAGTATTCACTGTTAGTAAATGGACAAAACATATAGTTGGACAGGTATAGAACTCGTTGACCAAGTTCCCTGTTCACCTTTTAAATAGGGATAAAAGTGTCTATGGAATTACTATGAGAATTACTTGTAAAAACACTTGGTATTCCAACTTTCTTCAGGACTTGAATATGATTTAAATATCTCTGATTCAACGTGTTCAAAACTATATTGAAACTTTTCCCCTCAATTATACTTTTCTTTGTTGATGACTAGTACCTCAGTTTACTTAGTCATACAGGTCAAGATCTTGAGAGCCATTCTAGATTTCTGTAATTGAGCTCTTTACATTCTTTTGTTTGTTTGTTTGTTTAAAGATTTATTTATTTATTTGAAGTTGGAGTTACATGTAGAGAAGGAGACGGGAGAGAGGGAGGTCTTCCAACCGCTGCTTCACTCCCTAATTGGCTGCAGCGGCTGGAGCTGAACCAATCCAAAGCCAGGAGCCAGGAGCTTCTTCTGGGCCTCCCATGCAGATGCAGGGGCCCAGGGACTTGGACCATTTTCTTCTGCTTTCCCAGGCCGTAACAGAGCTGATTTGGGAGTGGAGCAGCCAGGACTTGAACCTGCACCTATATGAGATGCCAGCACTGCAGGGGGCAGCTTTACCTGCCAGAGTGCTGGCAGGCCCTGCTCTTTACATTCTAAACAACAAGTATTTACTACCATCTGTATGCCAGGCACATTGAATGTGCCATTCAAGGATTCTGTTGTTGCTGTAGTTTGTATGCTTTACCTTCCTAATAGTCCTTGAACCCATTCCTCTTTTCATGCAAGTGCCATCATTTTCCAGGAGGCTGACAGTGATACTTTAAAAATGTGGCTCCTATCAGGAAAATATTTTAGTGAATCTAAAGGCCTCACAGTAATTTAAACTCCAAGTGGCATGTAAGACCTCTTAGTATTTGGTTCCTTGTCTCTTCATCTTTTCCTTTCATTTCTTTCCTAAAGGTATTTTTCACTCCTTGATTAATTTCCACTGCTGTGCTTTTTAGGTGTGGATCCTCTGGACTGACAGATCCTTCTCTTTGTTAGTCCTCATTAGCTTTGTTTTGGGAATATGATTCATGTAAAGTACTTAGAACCTGACTTA